TTGTCCAAACTTGGCCACTTTAAGATGAGTGGACTTCCACTCATCTTAAAGTGGCCAAGTTTGGACAACACTGGGCTAGACCTTTGGGAGTTAGGTAGTTATCAAGATCATGACTGTGTTCATTTGGCTAACAGCAAAAGATTCTGGCATTAGTTTTTCTAATGCTAGTGCTTATTTAAATTTGGTAACAAATATTTACTTTTCAGGTACATAAAATTTTGCCTGAGATTGCTGATTTTTAACCAGCATGTTTTAAATATATAACTTGAGTTCAGATTTCGTAAGAAACATTAGTCATCTAGTTTATACAAAGAACCTCTCTGTGTTTGCTTTTTTTAACCAAGAGTTTCATATATGTTAACCAGATAATGTGCCCCCTTTTGAAACATGCACTTTCCTACATTACAAGTATATAGTTAAAATTACACATATATTGGGGGTAGCTGGTAGTCTGTTCAAATTACAAGTATTTGCATATAAATCCATATTTTTACTTAAATATACTAGGAAGATGAAGGAATTAGGAAGCTCATTAAAGCTCCAGCTCAGCTGTTCTTCCAGTGATCTGAAATGTTAACCAACCTTTTCCCTATGCTAGGATGTTTCCAGAGTTGTGCATATGGGAGGCCAGACAAGTCTGTGGTATCACTCCTTCTTAGCTGTAGCCTTTGCTTCCCCACCCCAATAGCCATTTTGGAAGTTGCATCCCATACACAACTCTATGGGATGTAGTCTAGGCAGCTACAATAGTACTAAAAATCAAGCAAGGAAATCTACCATCACTAGTATCTTCTACACTCCTTCTCGGTCTATTTGGGCAGTGCAGGAACAGAAATGGGCAGAACGTGTGGGAAAAGATTTTGTGTCAAGATTTACAGTAGAAATCGTAAATTAATTGAATTCTAAAGTAGGATTTGAAAAGTGTTCATGCAGAATTCAGAAATAAGTCAGAGTGTAAAAGAAAGTTCTTAAATCTATAGCAGGCACGAGCAACCTTTGTGGTTCTTGAATTATGTTGTTGCTACGTTTAGATTCCCTCTTCCCCACTGTGCTGTTGAACTTCTAAATTTGGGGGAAGAAAAGGAGGGAAAGAATGACACCTTAACTGGCTTAGCACACCTAAAAAGGTAGAACATACTCTACCTCCCAGGAGGAAAAAAAAGCCCCTTCAGAAGAGATCAGCAGAAAAATGGTCACAAAAATGCATAAGTAAAAATGTGATCCATGATCAACTGTTTACTTTTTATCTATAGGGCAAATTGAGTGTGGAACAAAGAAATTGGTTTAAAGTGTGTGTGTGTGTGTGTGTGTATAAAAATTACATACATCATGCATATGGAGTAAAAGTCTGTCTTTCATAAAATCAGACTATATTATTTCAGTATTAACTGTTGTGTGAAGAACAGCTCTCCCCTGTGGTTGTTCAGAAGTAATTCCTAACTTTTAACTAGAGAAGCTAGGTTGATTCCCCCCCCCCCCCCGCAACATATATCTTGCTCTCTGGGTTGGAGATCACGGTTTGTCTTCTGCTAAAATTGTTCTAAAGCCAAAATGGCCTTTTGTGGTAGAATATTTATGTATGGTAACTTGAATAATGGTAAAAAACCAGATTTTACTCCTGCTGTTGTTTAGAAATGCTTTCAATAAATCTAGATGAATTGCGTTTGGAAGATTACATCCGAGTCATGTGGTGCTTTAGTTTATCTATTTATTTAGTGTCTTGAAAGCATCATTTTTCACTATTGCTCTTGTTTGTTTCAAGGCTGCTGTTGTACCATCTGCACAATCTCTCAGGCTCACTGACTTTTACTTCAGTGACTTTGAGCTGTCAGATATGGAGACTTCTCTGTGCACAATCCGGATGTTTACTGACCTTAACCTTGTACAAAATTTCCAAATAAAACATGAGGTAAGATCGCAGGCATGACCATATATGTAGCCAAATATTCTGCAATACAATGTTCTTTAATGTGTGTGTGTGTGTATATGTGCATATATAAAGATATGATATGACATGACATGACATGACATGACATGATATGATATGATATGATATGATATGATATGATATGATATGATATGATATGATATATGACTGGATATAAAATGAATAGTACACTTTAAATCATCTATGAGGTCATGGGAAAAATGCATCGTTATCTGTGAAAAATGTTTTCAGTCATTTTCCATGCATATAAGCTCCAGAGGAAGTGGGGACATATGTGTTTGCTATGTGCTTGCTCACCATTCTTAACATCCTTGTCACATCCTTGTTGCTATCTACAGAGGAGAATTTCCTCTATCTATACATTCTCCCTGAGATTTTAGAATTCTGACTTTCCACATTTCTAAAATCTGGGGAAATCTGAGTTGTCTTCTACTAACAGTTGCCCAGAGCTAGTATGCAAACCTTACATATGAGGAGAGAGATTGTTTTTGGTCTTCTGCAGTAGGCAGTTCTTCTGTGTATATAGAGCCACTATCTTGTTTGCAGCAAAGCAGCCTGCTTAGCTATGTCATGCCTATGAATTCCTGCTTTAAGTGGGTACCTGAATATAGAGTTAAGTCAAAATATATTGCCATGCCTGGCACAAAGTCTGACAAGGCTTCAAATATAAAGCAGTGCCTGAAAACATGGTTCCAAAACTTATTTTATAAATTCAGGAATTTTAAATGTAATCATTCTAAATGCCTAGTGAACAGATTGCAGTGAGGGATTTCCATTTTTCTATTTTAAAAAAAAAGTCAAATCTTTAACATATGGTGGAAAAACAAATTAGCACTTGATATGCAAGCACTTTGTCAGAACGAGCCTCCCTGCAATTAGGCCCATGTAAGGAAATATCAGCTTTAATCAGCCTACTCCTTCCTAGGCATTCCCTTTTTTACCTTTGGACAAATATGTACATAAAGGAAGAATTTCTTATCACTTTCAAACAGTGCAATAGAGATTTCTTCAAATAAACCAAGAACCTTGTAGAATCAGTAGACTTGATTGATAGGGTTGTTCAACACTTTAAATTCAAAGGTAAAAAGTTACTTTAGATTGTTGGAGGTGCAAACATACCATCTACTCACAACTCCTTATAGCAGCCTTTTCTTAGGATTGTGCAGCTCCCGTGCAAACCTGAGAAAGAACGTGTTTGGTTTATGGAGTTGCACACAGTATTATATTCATGACTCCATGTGCTCCAAAGCACCTTTCATTTTCTTAATTTCATCTTTCTAAGTTAAAATCTACTTTAACAGCTCAGTTCCACAAAATGTATAAAAAAGCCAGATGTGAAATTGCTTGATTTGTTAATAAATTGGCTTTGGGTTTCTTATCTAAAAACAATGGTGTTTATTCTGTATCATACTTTTAACTGAATAATGATGTTTTTGAAAGGTCCTTTGCAGATGGATTTTAAGTGTGAGGAAAAATTATCGGAAAAATGTCGCTTATCACAACTGGAGACATGCTTTTAACACAGCCCAGTGCATGTTTGCTGCTTTAAAGTCAGGAAAAATTCAGGTATGTTTGGACATCCTTATTTATACTAAGGCTGTTTTTAAAAACCTTAACTAGATATTGCAATACATCATGTTGAAATTTTACCAAGAGCTAGTTCATAGATTTTAAGTATCTCCGTGCAATAGATCCTGACTACATCACTAAAAGATGAACATATTTCATAAGAGGAAAAAAACATCTATAACCTGTGCTGTGCTGATGACATTATTCTGGTAGCTGAAAACTGCTCCAGTAATGAATGATCTGCAAGCTCCAGTAACGAAAGTCAAAGAGCACAGTGAAAAAATGGAACCAAAATTAAATATAAAGAAGACCAAACATTTGACAACAGGTATAGCAACCAGCCTTAGAAATTATAATGAAGATATTGAAGTGGTGGTTAGGTTCTGCCTTTTAGGATCAACCATCAATAGTAAAGGAACCAGCAGTCAAAAAAAAAAATATGCCTCAGATTATCACTTAGTAGAGAAGAATGACCTTGGAATGAAGACCTTGGAAAAAATATTCAGATGCTGTGATGTGTCTGTGCATACAAAGTTCAGAACTGTGCAAGCTGTGGTATTGCCTGTGACACTCTATGGAAGTGAAAGCTGGACAGTGAAGAAGGATACGAAAAGTATTGACGCTTCTGAACTCTGGTGTTGGAGAAGACTCCTGAGAATATTGTGGACAGCCAAGAAAACAAACAAATGGATCATCAAACAAATCAACCTAGAGTTCTCACTTGAAGGACAAATTATCATACACATTGGACACATCATGCAAAAATCTAGTTCTCTAGAGAAGTCTATAATACTGGGAAAGGGGGAAGGAAAGAGACAAAGAGGATGACCAGCAGCAAGAAGGATAGAGTACTGATAGCTACACTGCTGGAAGACCCAAAGAACCCAGTTGGGGACAGGTCATCCTGGAGAGAATCTGTATGTGTGGTCAAGATTGACTTGATGGCACCTAATCAGTCAGTCCCTGAAAGCAGTGATAGTGATATATGTGACTGTGGTTTTTTACAGCTCTGCCACTTTGACTGCAGTTACTCCACTGCAAAGTTGTCAATCTGCCTATTATATCTTTTATATAATTCTAGGTACATCTGTGGAGGCAGTACTCTCTAGGTCATATGTTGGCAACTTTTT